GGCTTTTACACACGTCTCCTTTGTGACCCTTCAGCATGCTCCTCCCTCCACCTCAGGGCCTCAGCACTGGCTCTTCTTTCTACTTGGACTTCTCATTACCCACTTTTAGAAAGACCTCAACTCCCATGTCACCACCTCCAACAGGCTTCCCTCACTGCTTTAGCTCACTCCTCCTCCACCCCATAAACACCTGTGGCTCCCTTCTCCCTGTTTATTTCCCCCAGAGCACTTTGATCTGAAAAAAACCTGTGAACTCACTGTCTCCCCTGCTTCTGCCAGAAGACCTGAGTTCCCGGTGCCTGTCAGACAGCAGGCACTCAATAAACACCAAAGAAGTGAAATAGATACCTTATTACCCTGATCTTGAAGATAAGGAAACTGAGGCACAGAGAATCTAAAGCCTCCCCCAGGCCACATGCTCATTAAGTGACAGATTCGTTGTTGTTAATCCTAACCCAAGGATTTTTTCCATTGATTTTTAAAAATATATATCTTTATTGATTTTAGAGAGGAAGGGAGAGGGAGAGAGAGAAACATCAATGACGAGAGAGAAACATCAATGATGAGAGAGAATCATTGATTGGCTGCCTCCTGCACACCCCCTACTGGGGATCGAGCCCGCAACTTGGGCATATGCCCTTGGCCGGAATCGAACCTGGTACCCCTTTAGTCCACAGGCTGACGCTCTATCCACTGAGCCAAACTGGCTAGGGTTCTATTGATTGATTTATTTATTTTATTAGAGAGAGTAAAAGGGAGGAGGAGAGACAGAGAGAAACATCACATCGATGTGAGAGAGACACATCAACTGACTGCCTCCTCGATGTGCCCCAACCAGGGCTAGGGTTCCGGTCTGCAACCAAGGTACATGCTCTTGGCCGGGAACTGAACCTGAGACCCTTCAGTCCTCAGGCTAATGCTCTATCCACTGAGCCAAACCAGCTAGGGCTAAGTGACAGATTTAAACCCAGGCCAGCTGATAATAGAATCCATGCTCTAAACCCCACAGTTCAGGGCTCCTCAGAGGCACAGACTCCCATGGGAACCTTGTCTGCCCCACGTATCCGAAGAGAAGGAGGGCTGGGGAGCACTGGGGCAGAGAGCACTTTCAGGATGACACATCCTAACCAGGAACTGCTTTTCCCAGCAGGACTTTGCCAAAGCTGGAAGGAAAAACTGCAAAACTGAGCTCCAAGGGCCGGGTCCCTTATTCCTGGGTTTCCGGGGCCTGCCAAGTGGGGGAGGAGAACCATCCCACATGTCTGGCTGTGGCCCAGCAAGCTGTGGACACAGGGCTGACCCTGTTATAAGAAGTCACTTGTGCTGAGCATGTTCTCTGTTCTTGGCACTTTGCTTCAGGCTTTACATGCATTGATGCTCTGAGGTATAAAGTTCCAGAGCCCACTTTGCAGATGGGTCAAATGAGGTCTAGAGAGGGCAGTTGCATGCCCTCTGGGGATCACACATCTGGGGAGCAGTAGGCCTGGAGTCCACATGCAGCCCAGGCTTGCTGTAGATTCTGAGCTCCTCAAGGCTCCCAGGCGGCCTAACTTCCTGTGAGCCTAGCACCAGGCCTCCAGAAAGAATGACCAGGAGGCAGATGTTTGTCAACCAGCGTATTTCTTTTCCCTTTTTGGCATCTAGATTTGGTTTCGTTTTGAAATCAGAACTTTAGAAAATGAAAACAAAGCTATAGTAACCGTCAACGATGGCACTGAAGAGAACCCACGTGGGTTTACCAACGGGGGCCTAGTCACTATGCTTGCACAACCAGGGTCTGGACAGGTTAGAGGAAGGGATACTCCCGTTGTGCAGGCCAGGAAACTGAGACTCAAAGGGCCCAAAGCCACAAAGGGCAAGACAGAGGCTTGGATGCCAAGAGCTTATAAATGAGAGGAAAGCTGGCAGACCTGTACCCACTCCTCCCTAGGCAGGCTTAGGATCCAAATGAATCTCTGATTTCTTTGGCATCTACTCTTTTTTCCAGAAGACAAAGTGGTCCAATACCCTGTGTATGAATCTTGGCTCTGCCCCATCTAAGCTGTATGTCCCTGGACAAGTGACTCCCCCTCTTAGCCTTAGTTTTTCTATCTGTAAAATGGGCAGGTTGGATTGTGTACACCAATTCAATAGTCTAAGGCAGTGATGGCAAACCTATGACATGCGTGTCAGAGGTGACACGCGAACTCATTTTTTTGGTTGATTTTTCTTTGTTAAATGGCATTTAAATATCCTATATAATAAAAGGCTAATATGCAAATTGACCAAATGGCAGAATGACCGGTCACTGTGATGTGCACTGACCACCAGGGGGCAGACACTTAACACAGGAGCTGTTCCCTGATGGTCAGTGTGCTCCCACAGGAGAAGCACTGCTCAGCCAGAAGCTGCGCTCATGGCTGGTGAGCGCAGCGGCGCTGGCAGAAGCCTCTCCCACCTCCGTGGCAGCGCTAAGGCAGTTGGACATCCCCTGAGGGCTCCCGGACTGTGAGAGGGCGCAGGCCAGGCTGAGAGACACCCCTCCCCCCAGTGCACAAATTTTGTGCACCGGGCCTCTAGTATAAAATAAATATCAAAAATATAAGTCTTTGTTTTACTATGGTTGCAAATATCAAAAAATTTCTATATGTGACACGGCACCAGAGTTAAGTTAGGGTTTTTCAAAATGCTGACACGCCGAGCTCAAAAGGTTCGCCATCACTGGTCTAAGGGCTAAGGCATTTACACACAGTCAGCTTTGGCCAACACATCGCAGGTATAAGTAAATGAAATGAAGGAGGGGCCTCCGCAGGAATGGGTTGGAGGATATCAGCAAGATGGGGAGGGGGGAGTAAGAGAAGGAGGAACCAGTCCCCAGGGAAAAGGGGTGGCTCTCCTAAGAGACTGTCAATGGGAGTTGGGGGCATATGGGCCATCAGCTATTTATAGATTTCCCTCTGCCCAAGGAGACATGTTGGCAGGAAGAAAAGTCATGCAGGAGCCAGAACAGCCTGGCTGCTTTCTTTGGGCCTGGACCTCCTTCCCCCAGCTCAAATAAGAAGAGAAGGAGGTGCGACTCCTCCCCATGGCCAGCATCCAGGGGCCTGGTTTGCCCTGGTGAAATGCTCCTCCTACTCGGCTTGTGCCTCCTCTAACCTGTGCTCCCTAGCCTAGGGCGTCTAAGATGGGCATAAGGAAGGAAGCCATGTGTCTGCGGGCTTCAACATGCTGCCACACCCACAGGCACCCCTGGGTGAACAACAACAACAACAGCAAACACCTACTGAATGCTTATTATATGCCAGGGACTATTCTAAGCACTTGACCCACCCATGATCACTCATTTAATCCCCACTGCTATGAGGGAGGTACTAGTACCATCTGTTTCACAGGTGAAGAAACCAAGGCAGAGGGGTTAATTACATGCTTAAAGGCACAAGGCTAGAAAGTCGAAGAGGTGAAATTGGAACCCAGGTAGTTTGGGTCCACAGTCCAGCTCTGGAATGGCCACAGCACCTCACCACTGGCACATGCATGGCTCTGCATCTTGTCACCCCCTGCACAGGAGCGCATGCATGTGCATGCACATGTCCCAGGACCACCACACCAACAACCTACACTAGCTGCTGTCACACACTACTCAGGGAGCTGTTGGGGTCCTGGGGCTACCTTCTGTGTTCAGGGGGCTACCTTCTGTGTTCAGGGCCTGGGATCTGCCTGGGGGCAAAAGGCAGGCAGGAAAACCCTGCACCAGGGCTTCAAGGAGAGGAGCTGGCTAATCGGCCACTTGAGAGCTGCCTGTAGAGGGCAGTGTATGCCAGCGTGAGGCCAGCCACCATGCCCTCAGCCTGTCCTGTCTTCTGTGTAACCCCCTCCAGACTCTGAGACTACCCACCCACCAGACCCAACCCTCATTTGTTCTTTCTTCCCTTCAAAAATACATGTTCCAGTCAGGCACCTACTCCATGCCTTTCTACCAGGCAGGATCACTGGATCACACATAAATGAACAAATTACAGCCTAACCCACCATGCCCCCACATCCCACGCCTAAGGTGTGAGTGCTGGCGGAGGTAGATGCTTGACGAACAATGGGAAGAAGGGGGGGGGGGTGAGGGGGGGAGAAAGGCTGCCAGGATAAAACAGTCGGTTTTAAGAATCATCACACAAACCATCTTTTCGTTGGGCTCCAAAGTGCTTTTGGAGGTGCCCAGCTGCTCTCTCCCCAAAACAAAAGTGAGGAGGGCATGCCTCCTCCGGAGCTTTCCATCTGACAGTCACTGCAAAACAGAGCCCCTCCCTGGCCTCAGTTTCTCCAGCGTAGGAGGACGAGCCAAGGCCTCGGGGGACCTTGCCAGCCCCGCCCGGTTTCTGAGGAACTCGACCGGCATTGGAGCTGCCCCTCCTGCGCTACCAAAGGGTTCCTCCGAAGCCTGTGGTCAGGCCGCCACTTCCTGGGAAGCCCAAGCCAAGACCAGCTGCAGGCGGGGAGTGCGGGGGAGGCTGCCCGAGGCTCCCGGCTACAGGGGAAGGGCACGGCTAGAGTGGTCCCGAGAGGTCCGAAGCCGGATCTCCAGGTAGGGTGGGGAGGTCTGGCTCGAGCAGATTAGACAGAGACCTGCCTCGATGGGTACTGAGCCACCTGACGAGGAGAGGGCGCGTCAGGGCTAGTCCAGAATATCCTAAAGGTCTAGGCTGCAGAAATCTGCGGCTGAAGGCAGGGGGGCAAAACAGGGGCACTAGTTTGGAAGGAGGCGTCCGAGAAGTGGCCAGGGGGTTCAGGGACGAGGCCAGGGACCTTGATGGGGGGGTTCCTAGGACAGGCGCGAGGCTAAGTCAGGGCAGGGGTCCTTGCAGGGGAGAGTCTCCCAGGTGTGCAAAAGGTCGAGCTGGGGAGGCCTCCACCAAAGAAAAAGAAACCGAAAGTGGCGCGGAAGAGCTGGGCCTGCAGGGGGGTGGAGTCTTGGGGCGGAGCGTCCTATCGCGGGGCCCCGCCCCAACCGGTTTAAAAGACTGGTGCAGGGGCGGGCGCGGAGCAGAGCGAGCTGCGGCCGTGGCAGCTGCACGGCTCCCGGCCCCGGAGCATGCGCGAGAGCCGCCCCGGAGCCCCCCGGAGCCCCCTGCCGCCCCTCCTGCGGCGCCCCGCGCCCAGCCGCCAGGTGAGCCGGGCACTGGGCAAGGAGCGGGAGCGGGAGGGAGAGGGAGTAAACGGAAAGGAAAAGACGGCCTGGAGTCAGGCTGGCCTCGAGGACTGCGTGGTGGGGTTGCGGCCGCCACAGCCCCTCGCTCCTGCCGGCCCCACCCTGGCAGCCCCCCGCGCGTGGGGTTCCCGTAGCGCAGCTTTTCTCCTGCCTTTGCCCAAATCGCCCGGACCAGGCGCCAATCCCTGGCCTGGCCAGCAGGCGGCGAGCCGTAGATGGGACAGGCTTCTCCCTGGCACCTCTCTCCACGCCCCCCTCCGTTTACCCAAACTCTGAGAGCCAGCTGGAGGCTGGACCCTGCTCCCGGCGAGCCCCATCGCCTGGAAGTGCTCCGCGCACCTGGAAGTCCATTTTCAAGATGAGCCTACTGAGGCTCAAAGGGGCCGAGCGGTCTAGGTCCTGTACCCTCGGCCCTTTGGGGTCAGCGGCTCAGCCTTAAGCCGCTCTCCCACCCCACCGTTGCCTCGCGGCCCCTACCTGTCCATCCCCACCCAGACTCCGCTCACTGCCTGTGTCTCCCCCATCAGCGCACCCCCGGACGCTATGGCCCACCCCTCCGGCTGGCCCCTCGTGTAGGATGGTAGCACACAACCAGGTGGCAGCCGACAATGCAATCTCCGCGGCAGCAGAGCCCCGACGGCGGCCCGAGCCTTCCTCCTCTTCCTCCACGCCCGCGGCCCTGGTGCGCCCGCGGCCCTGCCCGGCGGTCCCGACTCCAGCCCCGGGCGACACACACTTCCGCACGTTCCGCTCGCACGCTGACTACCGGCGCATCACCCACACCAGCGCGCTCCTGGACGCCTGCGGCTTCTACTGGGGACCCCTGAGCGTGCACGGGGCGCACGAGCGGCTTCGCGCGGAGCCGGTTGGCACCTTCTTGGTGCGTGACAGTCGCCAGCGGAACTGCTTCTTCGCCCTCAGCGTGAAGATGTCCTCGGGCCCCACGAGCATACGCGTGCACTTTCAGGCTGGCCGCTTTCACCTGGACGGCAGCCGCGAAAGCTTCGACTGCCTCTTCGAGCTGCTGGAGCACTACGTGGCGGCGCCGCGCCGCATGCTGGGGGCCCCGCTGCGCCAGCGCCGTGTGCGGCCGCTGCAGGAGCTGTGTCGCCAGCGCATCGTGGCCACCGTGGGCCGCGAGAACCTGGGGCGCATCCCCCTCAACCCTGTCCTCCGAGACTACTTGAGCTCTTTCCCCTTCCAGATCTGACCGGCTGCGCAGGAAGCATTAACTCGGACGCCTTATTATTTTTTATTATTAATTATTATTTCCCTGGAACTATGTGGGTTCCCTTCCCCGCCTGGGTTGGAGGGAGCCAGTGTGGGGGGCGAGGTCCCTCCCCATCTTGGCTGGAGATGAGGCCACAGACCCCTCCCCAACTCTTGGGGGCGTGCCCCCCTCCTGGTGCTCCCTCTGGGTCCCCCTGGTTGTAATAGCAGCTTAATTTAACTGTATCTGGGGCCAGGACCTCAACTTGTACCTCCTACCTCTTCATGTTTACATATACCCAGTATCTTTGCACAAACCAGGGGTTGGGGGAGGGTCTCTGGCTTTATTTTTCTGCTATGCAGAATCCTATTTTATATTTTTTACAACCAGTTTAGGTAATAAACTTTATTATGAAAGTTTTTTTTTTAAAAGAAAAACGGTTTCTAGAGCGTTTGCTTTGGTCAAAGGTTTTCCTTGGTTCTGAATGGGCCCAGGGGAAAGGGATCCTAAGACTGACCTGTTTGGCTGGAGGTGGTGTGTGGTCCATATTCTGTGGCTATGCACTCTGCTCAGTTCCCCCCACAGCTCTTGGGGGTAGAGGAACCGCTGGTCTAGTTTTGGTATTGTATGTCTGGTTAAAATGGCAGCTCATGTTTGAGCACTTAATGTGTACCAGGTCCTATGCGGAGCTTTACCTGCTTCCATTTACTTAATCCTATTGAGACAATCCTATGAAGCAGGGCTCTTTGCCCATTTTACAGAAGAGAAAACCAGTGTAGGGGGTCAATTTGCCTTTGGTCATTCCTGTGTCAAAGTAGACACTTGGGTTTTTATTGGCTGTCCACAGAGACTGTTTGAAATGGATGACACAGAGAAAATTTTATTGTGACCACAATAACTTCTAGGAAGGGATGGGGGAGTGGGGGCTTGATGATTTTTGGAAGGAGGAGTGGTACATTCTGAAATTCAGCATCAAGGGAAACATTTTAGATGGGATAGAGGATACAGGGTTGGGCCTGACTTCCTTCTTCCCGCCCTGTTTTGTCTGGTGTACTTTTTGGTGAACGCATAACTTGGAGTCAGACGAGGCTTTGTGGTCTGTGGTGGCTGGAGGGCCCTGCTAGCGGCAATTCCCTTTGCCTCTTGGGGCCTCAGCATGGGCCTCAAACATGGGCTTGTTGGAGGAGGTGGAACCCTCAGCAGCAGGTGTCTAGGCATCACAGAGAAAGTGATGTTTTCAGGAGCCGGGGGAGGGAAGAGCTGCTCCAGGATGTTTGAAAGTCCCCATGATACGGGCTTTATGTCTCTGACCGGCCTGACAGATAAGCCATGCTGGCCACTCAGGGCTGTGCTGCTGCACCCAGTGAATTGAATCATGTTCAGGTATCGGGTTAAGCAGACATCGCACGCACTTCATTTCTAGAAGTTAGAATGGGCCTCAGCAGCCTTGGACATGCTTATGATGTCCTAGTATTTAATAATACCTTTCCGACTCGAAAGTGCAGCATAAAATTAACTTGAAATTTGGAGCTGCCCAGGCTTGTCTTGGGATTAAATAGGCTCCAGACCTCAAGGTTAAGGATGGCCCGGAGAGATTTAGGATCTCAGAGAGCTGTGGCAATTTCATCCTTTAATAAGATGGGATGGGAGGGAAAGGGGGTGCTGTGAGGTCACTGGCTCCAAGGAATCGCTGCTTTTTCTTCTTTTATCTACCTCCTTGCCCTTTGTTCTCTACTGTGTGGATCAAGTTCTGTCTTTGTTCTGACTTTCCCTGTCTCATACCCAGTTTGGGCAGGGCCTGAAAAAAACACAAATCCAAGAAGGCAGTGCCTGGGGACACCGCAGACACTTAGTGAGTACTTAGTGTGTGTAAGGCCCTGTGCTACCTTGTCTCATCCTCACAACTGGCCTGCGAGTTAGAAACCTCTGTCCCCTTTTCATAGGTGGGAAAACAGGCTCAGAGAGGCACAGGACACACAGCAAGTGATGGAGCCAGATGTTCAAACTTCGATTGTATTGCCTCGGAGGCTGGGTACCACTAGGTAACACAGCCTCCCCCGAGGGCCTAACGGTCGCAATAATAATAACAGCAGCAGCTGCTAACATTTACATATCGCGTTACTGTGCAGTCACCATTCCAACCCCCTAGTTACCTATATTAAGACATTCAACCTTCACCCAAGCCTTACGATTTACTATTAACATCTCCATTTTACAGATGAGGAAACAGATACTCATCTAAAGAGGGATGAATTAGAAGGTAGTTGACAATGTTTTCAGGGTTTTTTCCTACTTTAAAAAAAGTTTAAAAGCCACGTCTTCATCACACAAACCCATTCTCCCTATAAAACCTGGAGCAAAACAGCTAAGAAAAAAAACCCCCTCTGACCACACTCCCCAGAGCTGGCCCCTTCTCTCTGTAAGTCATTAAAAAAAAAAAAATCTATGCTAACATATGTACAGTGGCATAAAAGTCCCCAGGGGCTGTACTCCAGGCCCCGTGTGACTGAGATCCTGTGCAGACACCGGTGCAGAGGAAAAGGGCTGGGGGGTGGCGTAGTGTGTGCCATGTGGCTTCCCCTTCAGTGCAGATTCTCTCAAACCTCAGCTTTCTGATTCAGCAACGCTGATGTCAATTTACTGATGTCAATTTACAAGAATGAAAAGTGAGAGGAGGGTGTGTGTGTGTGTGGTGTGTGTGTGTGTGTGTGTGTGTGTGTGCATGGGTGGGGGAGCGTGCGTTGGGGGCTCAGGTGCCGCTGAGGTACCCTCCCCAATGAGAGTGGGTGAGCTGGGCAGCAGGGGCATACAGAATGGGAAAGGGGCAGCTCTTTACCATAATGGGGACTGCACGCAGGTACAGGAACAGGCTTCAAGCCACATCAAAGCCACCCTGAGCCAGGGACTCTGATCCCCATTTCAGAGATGAGAAAATGGAGGTACAGAGAAGTACAGTCACTTTGCTCAAGGTCACACAACTCAAACATGATAGCCAAGACCTGCACCAGGGCCATCCCTCTCTATAGACCACTGGTTTCTTAAAGAGTGGGGGAGGGGAGGGAGGAGCCCTGGGGAAATGCATGTTCCTCGGCCTCACCTCAGCCTGCGTGATCCTCCTAAGCTTGTGAGTCGATCTGTTATTGTCCCAGAGCCAGGAAGTGGAGCACTGAGCCTCTTCCTGAGGTGATGCACATAAAGCACTTAGCACGCAACCTGGCAATAGATCTCCAAACGATACGGTGCTCAATAAATGATCGCTGGGTCCCTACAGCCCCCATCCACTAGGCACCTGCTGTGTTCCAGGCATTACTCTAGGCCCCAAGGACACTTGAAGGGACAAAGTCGAGGGAGTCCTGTCCCTGTTATTCACGGCCTCACACAGTAAATACCGCAACTGAACATGAAACTAAAGAAACAGGAACATTCCAAGCAGGGATAGTCCTCCAGTGAAGACTCAACAAGGTGGTTGGATGAGGGGGTTGTGGTGGTGGGGTGGCATATTTTAGAAAGAAAGGTCAGGAAGGTTCCTAAGGGGACACTGACATTGTGCGTGGAATGACAGGGCGGAGCCAGCCTAGGAGACGGGCATTCCAGGCAGAAAAACAGCAAGTGCAAAGGCCATCGGTTGGGATGAGTTCAGTGCATTCCAGAAGGCTGGCCAAGCTGGAGGGGACTGAATGAAGGTGAGTGGCAGGCGATGAGTTGGATGGGGTGGGTGGTGGGCAATGGGCAGGGGCCAGAGTCCTGTAGACCATGGTAAAATGTATGGATTTGAGGTGTGGTAGGGAGCCTGGGGGTGGCCTGATTGAATCTGTGTTGTGACTACATCCTCTGACTTCTAGCTAGAGATGGACTAAAGCAGGGAGGACTGGTGAGAGGGCGTTAGGTTTCTTGCCTTATGTGTGTACTGGTGGGGGTGAGGGGTGTTCATTCTTGGCCAGACCCTCAGCTCCAGCCAATCAGGCCAACAGCAAGGAAGGGCCAGCCACAGGAATGCTGAGACCTGGCTGAACGCTGGGCCTGAGCGTGGGCTAGGCCTGGAGTGGCCAGCCCTGGGGCAGGCATCCATCAGAAACCACAAGCACGACCAGACCTCAAGCCTGGGTCTGAACAGAGCCCCAGGCATGGCCCCCAGGCTCCAATGAGGGGCTTCTTGGAGCCGTGTCCACCCCTGCGGGGCAGAGCTGGCCTCCACTTTGGGGAAGGAAGCAAAAGGCCCGCAAGGAGGTGGACGGGCGGGCTGACACAGGGTGGGTGTGGCCGGTGCTCCCTGGAGGCTTGTTTTGCATCCCCTTCCCTGGCCTCCACCATCACCATCCAGACTCTCTAGGGCTCCAGCTTCAGATAATAACAGGCTTGGCCTCATTTGGGGGGATGGGGGGTGTCTGAAGACCCCTCCGAGCAGGGATGAAGTTTTCAGCGAGGCAAATTCACACGGGACAACGGTGCTCAAGGAGGGCGCGCCAACTCTACCACCGACCCTGGTCCTGGCCCTGGCACCTGCCAGACAACCCCGAGGGACACTGGGTTCCCCGCTCCACAAGGACTGGCCCCAAGATGAACCTACCACCCTGTACACACTCACCCGGGGCGGGGTCAGGCATCGCCAACCCCAAGGACTCCCAGCCGCGCTCGGGAGAAGGCCCGCCTCCCACGAGGACCCAGGGGCCTGCAGGCGGCCCTTCCCCACGCTCCCTCCTGCTACTGGGCCTTTGCACATGCTGTTCCCTCACCTCGTGCGTCGTGGTGTTTCCCAGCCGGTTTCGAGGTAAGGCGCTCAAACAAATAAAAGGCGACTTCACCAAAGTCCGAGGCCCCGCATGACTCCTGCGCTCCCGCGCTCCTGCTCCCGGGCGCCACGTGCTGCGCACTGATGACGTCACCACGCCACTCCGCACGTAGCGCCCCCCCCCGCCCCTGCCCAGCCCACCCTACCTGGGCCTTTGAGCCTCTGTGGGTTTCTGGCCCCTTTGCCTCCGCATGGTCCTAACGCCGACCTATGCATTCTGCCCGCTGGACACTGTGGGCTTTGTGGACTCTGAGAGCGCATACCCTAAGGACATGCCAGGTCAAGGCCATAATATCGGGCCCTCCTCCATCCCCTCGAGTCTACAGAGACCAAAAACGCTTCCACTTCATCCCAGTCCACAACCTCAGATCTCAAATCCTTTTTTTCTTTTTCTTTTTTATTTTGTATATTTTTTTTCCCAAACCCTCTTTTTCTCACTTGGACATGGGATTAGTAATTGTACCCACCCCATGGGTAAAATTAAATAAAAGGGCGCCTGTAAAGTGCTTAACATATGATAGGCAAACAATCATTGGGACTGGCCCTCTGTTTCTTGACTATTGCATTGCTGCTGTTTTAAAACAATGCCATTTATTGAGCACCTAATGGGTGCTAATACTTCATCCCGGCTGCATCGTGAGGAGACAG